TTGCATATTCCTGGACATCATACTTTTGTACATTTTTTATATCAATGTTCACGTCACCCATTACCAATAAATTTCATTTCTGATCTTTTATAATGTGGTCCAGCTCTTGTATAAATAATATTTCACTTTTAGATGGTGGTCTGTAGACAGCAATAATATTCAAATCAATATTACACTTTTTAATACTTATTATAGCCCTTTCAAAATGGTTACTATTGCAGGGTTTCTCCTCTACTTTTATATTTTCTTTTACAAAAATTCAAATCCCTCTTTCCTTCTTTCCTTTCCTTAAATTATGAAACATGCAAAAATTACTTAATCTGAATAAACTAAGCAAGTCCAACAAATCATCCTTAACATTAACCTCAGTAAAAATCATAACATCAAAAAGATTAACAATACTATTACCAAACATAATACAAAAATTATCCCAATTAATTCTTATGGATCTAATATTCAAATGCAATACAGTAATTCCAGTTTGATATTTGTTCTTTATGCAAGAGTTTTCAAAAAGTTTAACATCTTTGTGGTTAAAGGTAATAAGTTCCTCTGTTTCTAATATATCAAATGGCTACATTCAATTTTATCATACCAAAGAAACAAAATGAGAAAAAACAAATATATTTCACTTTATTTTTCCTAGCTGAGACATTTCAGTGATAGAGATCACATCTTGATCATCAGTCTTTCTCACATTGACACTGCCATAATTGTACCAAATGTATTTATAACCAAGATCCTTTGCTTTCTTTTTGACTTCTTTGAGTAAGTTTCTGAAATGAGGAGTCAGGTTCTCACTTACGTATATTCGGTCGCTATTCAGTCCGGTCACCTGGGAGTTAGTCACCACTTTCTTCCTTTCGGCAAACACCTCATCCCTCTTCTTCCTCCGAGCAAACTGGACGATAATGGTTGCCGGTCGGGTAGCACCTCTGGTCTTAGGCAGGTGATGCGCAGCCTCAATGTCATTCTTCTCCAGGTTCACTCCAAGTCCCTTGGCCACATTAACAACAATTTCTTCCACATCTTCACCCTTCTTCTCAGCAACTTCATTCATTTCTAAATTTCTATTACGTCCATATTGCTCCAGTTGTATCACACGAGCCTGAAGTTCTCCAATTTGTTTGTTCTTCTCTTGTATAATATTTTGCAACTTAATCACCTCTTTTTCTAATTCTGGAATGAATTTCAATCATTCTTTAATATCTTCATATTTTCATCAATAAATTGTTGGCTGTTTTTTATTTCTTCATTATCTTTCTTCAGCTGTTGAAAATCAGATTTAAATGTATTCCAAATTTCTAGTTTATTACAGACATCACTCATAAATTTTTCTAACTTGCATTCCAAATTTTCTGAAGAGTCCATTTCCAGTTGATTTTTAGAAACCTTGGTCTCATGTTTTTCTGTTGCTCTTGCACTTCAAACAAGTTAAATAACACTAGCTTATTAAAAAAAATATGTTTGCATGGAAATTACATTTGATTAGTTCACATTCACTATGTATTCTGAAAACATACATTTTACAAGGTATTTGACTTGCTAATGTGGTACCCTAACCTCAAAATCTATGGGACCTCCAAGTTACCTGAACCATGGAACCATGGTAGTTCTTCGTGCTACTGTACTGTATAAGATACTTTACTTTATACTTTAATACATTTCACTTAGATGTCTAGTGTTACTATACCATACTGATATGCATTATGGTGAGTTTTCTTTCTTACTACTAAATGTATATGCAACAGTAATGAATTTATTAGAACAGGCTTTAATGAATAAGACTTCTATAATGCGAATCAAGCAAAATAAGTAGTGTTCATCAAGAACCTAGTGTTCCTATTTACACACTGGTAAAGTGCTATTGTTTGCCAATTTATTTATTTTTATGATGTAATGAAATTGTTTTCATGTCACAAAGTCATCACAACGATACGATGTACAGCCATCGGTGTTTGTGGTGTAGTGGATAGAGTGCTTGGCTGATATGCAAAACGTCCCTGGTTCGAATCTCATCGGTAACTTTAACTTTTTGTCCAAGATTTTGCTTTGAATGCTATTTCTTCTTAACTGTACATCTTTTGTTAGAATTTTTGGCATTTATAATTTTATTTTATGAACAGAATTTAACCTTCATTGGATTTTTTCATTATCAGCTAGTTTGGTTGGTTAGGTTAGATTATGGCAGTAACTGCCGGACGCCTTATCCCAACCAGTTACCGGACGTGTATCAAGAAAGTATACTTTAGGCCCTTATCTAAGAGTGCTATCTCATCAGCATCAAATTCAACATTTGTGAGGTTAATGGTTCTTTGATAAAATACATGATTTATTTTAGCAACGTCGTAAGCGTGTTTTTGTCTAATAGGCTATTTAGATTCCTTTTTTTGTGTTCTCTTTTTAACTTCTTTTGCTTTAGTTATTTGAGGTTCTACTTGTGTTAAAACGTTATTAAGTTGTGCTGGATGGACTTCATTCATTATGGGCTAGGCGTATTAAGAATATAAGTGGCAGTTCGCGGAAAGTTTAGGTACAGTCCTAATCACCACTTATATTTATGTTTTTTGGGTCGCTGAAAACAAATATGAGGTTTGCTGACAGATATTATGCCCGGAACATTGTTTATTTTGCAAAAAAAAATTAAAATTAGGTAAAGTTTTTTAGATTTTTGTGCTAAATCTCGGTATGGGTTTTTTGAAAAACACCGCTTTGTAAAATTAAAGAAGACAAAACTTACTATAAGTTTCATTTATATAATATTTGTTTCTATGACAAACCGTTACGCCACTAGAGCACACTGAAAATGGTTAGAAATACAAAAAAAAGAAAATAAATAAAAGCTAAATGCTGCTGTTTTACATTAGGTTTCCGTGGAAACAACCCATGTTACAATCAAAAGTAATCCTTAGTTTGTGTTGCAAAGGGTTGTTGTCTGTATCTCCAAATTCATCATCAGTGAGAAAGTCATCAATCCGCGAAGAATTAACACATCATATAATACACTAAACACATAAACATTCACACAAATAACAAAAACCGTGCGCGACAGGATCAACGCTGCCCGAGGAAACTCAAAGAACTACATCATACAGCGCAATGAAAAACAACATCCTCCGTCAACGGCTCAGCTCATATCGAGACAATCATTTTGTAGTGGTGCTTTGACGAGAATACTCCGTCGCGCGGCGCTTGGTAGCGCCAGCGATGACAAGATTACTCGTCACCCGCATTGAACGTGTTAAACCATATTACAAATATTACACAAAAAAATACCCCCGACGCAGCAAACCTGCAGACTAAGCGAATTTCCATTTGCCTGATTAGATTTACACTAAAATGTCTACTTAAAAATATAACATTTATTTCCTATTTAAATAGAACTAGCTGTTACCCACGGGCTCCACCCCGTTTACTACATAAGTATTAATAAAACTATTGATTGGTTAAGTTAAGCTGAAATAAACAAAGCAGAATACAGTAATGGTAATACAAACAAATAATAACAGCTGAGGTATTTTTAACATTAGGTAGGCCTAAATGGAAAGTTCCCTTTGGAAAGCAATTACTACCTTATAGGGCAATTTATGAAATAATGGATAATTTTGCGCAAGGTTTCTCGTCATGACGAACATTTTAAGTATATGGTTTATGGGGGTGTGACTTGTAGTTTTCTCAAAAGTTCATGGGTACTTTTGGCTTTATATATAGATTAGTTTAACAAGTACTTAGGTTTGCTGCATCAGGAAGGGTAAAACTTTTTTTTTTTTGTAAAATGTATATAGTTAGTAAGAAATAAAAGCATTTTCCAAATTTGATCAAAATATGTTCATAAACAAGCAAACTACAACAGCTTACTTGTTCTCCATAAGAATAACATAGGAATTTAATACATTTTTTTTTTAAATTTTTTCCGTAAACATTAGGCGCATAATAACGCTTCAATATACTAAATTATTTGTTTTTTTAAGCTCTACAAAATGGTTTGGAAAGAAATTGCTAAATTTTATGTTCTTTGGGTCAAAAATGGGAAAAACCTATTTTTACCCCATAAAACCCCCGTTCCCATAGTCCGATCATGCTGGTTCGCGAACTCGTTCGAATAAATTTAGGTTTACATGTTTATACCAAATTTCATCAAAATCGGTTCATTTTTGCTCGAGTTATCGTGCTAACGGACATATATATATGCAGTAGAGTCCCACAAACTCGGCACTTGATAACCCGGCAGTCTGGATAACTCGGCCATCACCTAGCTCAGAAAATTAGTGATTTTTTTAATCCGAGTTCAACATGGACTCAAGCAAGCTCAAGTCAAATCATCCGCAATTTGTACCAAGGATTAGTTCTACTATATCTGATGACTTAATACTGACTTGTGATATAAATAAAGAAGGCAGGTAAAAGGCTTACAAATTTTATTGTTTTTATTTTTAACCCTAGTGCCCGATAACCCGGCATTTCACAAACTCGGCACCCTTCCAGTCCATATATATATATAAATATAAATATAAATATATATATATGAATTTGAACGGATGGTGTTTTTGGCCTCTAGGAACCTCAAAACAAAAAAAGAAATCGGTCCCGCGTCCAGGTCTTACCATGAGTACTACGGTAATAGCTTATTCCCTATATGGGAAATTCGATAAAAACATAAAATTTTAGAGTCGGCTGCTAGAATTTAAACAAATTTAGACTGAGAAAATTAAAATTATGGTTTTGACAATCCTTTTCTATCAAAATTATCTTTCTTTTTTTATGTATATATATATATATATAGGAGAATTATTAACATCCGTCAATTGGTTATTCAAAATTTTTTGTATAAAAAACCACTTATATATAGTGGATTCAATAACACCATGAAAAGCAAATTTACATATATTTATGCTAAAAAAGTGATTTTGGTTTTTTGATTCGCACTTGGGAAGCCTCCAGGTACTGAACTAGGGAGAGAAAATTATTGATCAAGGTTTAAAAGATAGGTACTCAAGAGATATATCAATGGTATACATTTTTATTCAACTATAGAATACGATTCAAATATTAAATAAATAAAACTAAAGATTTGTTTTTGGTCTGTTGAATGCCACAATGGAAAAACAGCGAGGAGAAACCACTGGATCAAACAGCTGAACCAGGTGGGCATCTTGAATACCCTGGAACAGTTAAAAAAACAGGTCTTTAAACAAGTCTGACCCTGGAACAGTTTAGAGAATTTGTGCATTAACTCAGTCTGAGATATAGAAACAACTGGATCAAACAGCTGAGCCAGGTAGGCATATTGAGTACCCTGAAACAGTTTAGAGAATTTGTGCATTAACTCAGTCTGAGATATAGAAACAACTCGATCGAACAGCTGAGCCAGGTAGGCATATTGAGTACCCTGAAACAGTTTAGAGAATTTGTGCATTAACTCAGTCTGAGATATAGAAACAACTCGATCGAACAGCTGAGCCAGGTAGGCATCTTGAATGCCCTTAAATGAAAATTTCTTTGTACCATTCGGTGAACAATGCTTAAGTCATCCAAGTATTAGGTTGGTTTTTGTAATGATGATGTGATTTTTTAATGTTGTATGGTCGCCATTTCATTGAAAAGTATTAAAGTATTAAGTATATTGTTTATTACTTGCCATAGCGCTTTTGGCTTGTTGTCAGCTTGTTCTAGCTGTTGAGGACATATTTTAAGTCGGGACCACGTAAGTTTGCAGTTGGTGGCAGCCAATCACAAGACAAGGCTAGTGCGACGTTGCCACATCGCCAGTTGACCACACTAATTAAAATATACTAAGCAATATTTTCAAATCAGCTGGTATTATTAGATTTGGCAACACCGCACGGTTCTCATTGGTTCATTCAAAACCACATGGTAAATAGGCTCCTCCCTCAACTGCAAACTTATGTGGTTTAGGTTTCTTAGTTTAATGTCGCATATCCTTTTTCTATTAATCATTTCTACTTTGTCTTCATTTCTGTTTGTTAACTCAAACTTTTGCAGAGCTTTCAAAAGTTTTCTTTAAGGTTTTTTTCTTCAGGATCATAGTACTTCAAATGTTTTTTGTTTGTGCTAATTTTAGTTTTCCTTAATGGGCATGTAGAATGCAGTGCTGTTTGAAGAATATCATGAAATTTGTTGTCGGAGGTTTCAAGATCGGGTGAAGAGTAAACATTTTCCCAAATTTTGTAGTTGGAGGTAAGCCTTCAGTTTGTTTAGGTTTGTGTTGTTTAGGCTTCTTTTTATTACACATCTTTGGGAAGTGTGTTCTTGGTGTGTTTTCAGCAGACACAGCTGCGCAGTGTGGTCAGATAGACCAGTATACACAACTTGTCCAGTAATATCCGCATATGGTATGTTAGAGTATACAGTCTATGGAAGTGGCTGTGTTCTGGTGGCCTCTAGCGGAATCTCCAGATGTTTTGTGTGGTTAACTCTTCTTCCAGCATGGTGTTTTTGGTATCTTGGGTGAGCCTGTCGATATTTATATCACCGATGAGTAAGAGGGTTTTCTTGTGTACTTCTTGTAGTTCTAGCGTGTCTGAGAGGAGATCAAGGGCAATTCTTGCATTTACGCTTGGTGGTCTATATATTTCCAGAATGTAGATATCCTTTTTCTTTGTTGTCTGCATGCGAATCATTGCTGCTTCAAAAATTAGCTAATGGCATGTGTTTGATATGTCAATAGCTGATACTGTATCAGCAAGGGTTTCCTTGGAATATATTGCTAAGTTTTCTTCTCTTCCAAAGTGGGTGATCATAGAGTAGCCAGGAATTTTTGTAGCTTCTAGTTCTGTTTTTACAGTCCGTGTTCAGTCAAGACTAGAATGCTTGGATTTGTGTCGCTAAGAATATGGTGTAGTCTGTTCGTCTTTGTAGCGAGTCCTCTAATATTTTGGTGCATTATTGCTAAACAAGAATTATTTGGCGATCTGCTGATTTTTCTTCTGCTTTTTTCAGGCTGTTTGTTTCTAAAATAAGAGGTTATAGTGTGGGACACTCCAAAGTGATTGGCTTGTTGACTTGAGTTGAGTTGGATGCCTGCAGCTGTTTTGTTTCTGTTTTCCTTGGGAGGAGAGCATTTGACATTTGACATTTCTTTATTTCACCTGCTGTGATTTAGACCTCGATGGTCCAATCTTCCATCACAACAGGCACAAAAAATACATTACAATATATTGTTGTAGTTACACTCAATAACATATTTAATACAATGCCAAATTTTATATCAATTCACAAGTTGTTTAATGAAATATTGTAGCTATACTACAACAACAAAATTTTATACAATTGGACAGTGAAAGAAAAAGAAAACCAACAATGTTTAGTATACTATGTACAAAAAAAAAGGAAAACAAATTGTCACGATTCTTATTATAAACATATTAATATTGAACATCTTAAAAATTATATCTTTCTAAGAGTTTAGCTTTGAGAGCACAGAGCGTGGAATAAATATAGAGTCGCCACTCCTATACCTACAGCTATACCAGTAGTGAAACCGATTTCCGCCATCTTGGTAAGAGAGTCGGGCTCGGAACTTTTAAAACACGGCGTCATTACCACTGTGTTATCCTATGGTACTTTATGAATTAGATTAAGCTACCGCTCCGAGGCCTTCAATATTGACCTAGGACTCTGCCCCGCGGGCTTTCAATGTTCTGAGAGAGAGTTTTAGAAGTAAATATTGATTGGTAGTTTCCATGGTAACAATATAATGGTTTAAATGTAAATGCAAACCGGGCCGGCCGCCATCTTGGTACGAGACGCCTGCTTCACTCCAGATGGCAAGTGCCGCCTCTATATTTATTCTATGCTCTGTGGAGGAGAGGCAGTCCATCTTGGTCATGCTTTGTCGCTTGGTGTGTGACAAGAGTATTCTTTTTATATTGGTCTATATTTTTCCAAAAGAAGTCTTCGATGGTCTCCACCGGCTTAAGAAGCTTGGCGGAGATTAAAGGTTTTACTGTGTTCTTTTGTTTAGTTGATGTCATTCGGGGAAATATAGTGCCCTTGAAAGTAGGTCAAACTCCTTTTGGGACTTTGGCTGCCTTAGGTTTTTTTATGTTTTGATTTTGTGTTTGTTGTGGTTGACTTTGGTGTTCTTGTGCATATTTCCTCAACTTGTCTTTTGTTATTTGCAAGCTAACACTGAAGTGGGGTTTCTTAGTAGTTGCCAATTCATTTTAACGAATTTCCCATATAGGGAATGAGCTATTACCGTAGTACTCATGGTAAGACCTGGACGCGGGACCGATTTTTTTTTTCATTTTGAGGTCCCTAGAGGCCAAAAACACCATCCGTTCAAATTCATATATATATATATATATATTTATATATATATTTATATATATATTTGTATATATATTTATATATATATATATTTATATATATATTTATATATATATATATATATATGTGTCCGTTAGCGAGCAAAAATGATCCGATTTTGATGAAATTTGGTACAAACGTGTAAACCTACGTTTATTTGAACGAGTTCGCGATCCAGCATAATCGGATCATGGTAACAGGGGTTTATGGGGGGTTTTATGGGGTAAAAATGTGTTTTTCCCATTTTTTACCCTAAAAACAAAAAAATTTGTTATTTCTTTCTAAACCGTTTTGTAGAGCTTAAAAAAATAAATAATTTAGTATATTGAAGCGCTGTTGTATGCCTAACGGTCACGGAGAAAATTCAAAAATAGTTTAATTTAAAATTCCCATGTTATTCTTATGGAGAAAAAAAATTTTTGTAGTTTACTTGTTTATGGATTTACAGTGTGATGGAAAAGTCCCGGAACGGTTAAATATTTTAAAAAATAATGCAGATAGAGCTAAAATACTTGGTACAAAGTTACAGGGCATAAAACTCTATTTTAACACATATTCAGTGATCCAATAATTCTTCAGGGGGACGGCCCACAAGGAGTCGGAAGAAAATCTTAAATGGAAGCATAGGTCAATATGCACACCAAATTAAAGGTATTTTTTAGTAGAATACAATGCCGCAAACCGCACTTCAAAAGGTTGATCCTGCGCAAAATGGCAGTTGTTCAAAGATTCATTTAATTTACATTGCTATTATACGCTTTCTCCTCAGGGGCACAGCCCTAGGAATCAGAAGAAAATTGTTAACGTAAGAATAGGTCGATATGCACATCAAATTAAAGGTCTTCACTTTTAGATTACGATGCCGTAAATTCAAGCTCAAAAGAATGTCTGAGTAAAAAATGGCAGTCGTTCAGATTCAAAATGGCGGATTCAATGTGGGTGAAACTCGTCTAGGTGTGTTAATTGGCTTGCAAGAATTCATCTTTTTCTCAGGTATAAGGCACTGGGAATATTTTACTGTTATTTTATTTTCTAATTTATTCATTTTTGACTCCATATTAGAGCTCGTGCGGTTCCTGGTTATGCCTGGGGGTGGATGGTTAGAGTTGCTCTGAACCGATTTTGTTGGGTGGGGGTACGCCGAAAATCAGTCTGCGCTCTCACCCTGTCCGAGCAACATGGCGGATACACTCTTTTTAAAAAACAATCGGGATGTCAGTTTGATTATCTTAAAACTTAATTTGTTTATTAGCGAATTTTCCCATATAGGGAATGTTAAGTCTCTCTCTGAGACACCATTGTTTAACACATTGCAGGTTGCCGTTCATGACGTCAGCTACAATGTTTGTAAATTTTCCTTGTACCATGAGGACTACGTCATCTGCATAGCCCTGGACAAAGATGATCTTGCTGGTGGGTTCAGTTTAAAGACCGTCCACCACAAGGTTCCACAGTAAGGGTGAAAGTACACCTCCCTGTGGACATCCTTTTGTGGGTGCGATCACAATTTTTTCACCAAGAAAGTCGGCTACGGTGCGTCTTGAGTTAAGCATAGACTCTGTCCCTCTACACAGAGATTGCTCGAGTCCACGCTCACAAACTCCCCGCACCATTGCTCCGTATGTTACATTGTCGAAAGCTCCTTCAATGTCCATGAAGGTGCATAGGGCTATTTCCTTAGCAGCCAGGCTGTCCTCAATTCTGCTGACCAACTCGTGCAGAGCGGTTTCGCAGGACTTGCCTGGCTGGTAGGCGTGTTGATTGCGATGAAGAGGTGTGTTGAGAAGTACACCCTTTCTTATGTGCCTCTCCACCAGCCTTTCCAAGGTCT